CAAATTTTAACAAAATTAAATTTAAAGAGGTTTTGTATCAAATGGTTTTGATATATATCGAATTTTAATTCATCTGAAAATATGTTTTGCCAAAATTGTTCTTGAATTAAAATTAACATGTAAAACCTTAATTCTTGTACCATAATTATTTGTTTTTTACTTGGTGTATTTCTACCCATTATTTTGCACCCAGATGCAAAACTTAGTTGAGTAGCAGTTGCAAGAGTTTGGATCAGGAATAGGGGTGTTCAATAAATCGAACTAAATTGATTAGACTGTATAAACAAAACCAAATTGTATAAAACCAAACTAAACCGTATAGTGTGATTTGGTTTGATATTTGATATCCAGAAAAACCGTATAAATTGAATCAAACCATATAGTTTATATATATACAAAACTAAAAATCTAATCACTACATATAAGGTATATTTTTATTATTTGATTATATATTTTTATTATTTTTTATATTTATATTCATTCTAATAATTGATTATTTTCTATTTTAAAGTGTAATTTTTATTAGTAATAGTAAAATTTTACAAAATGGTATAAATATATTTATTATAAAATGTATAACTACTATAGTTATTTAATAAATAATGAATTTATTAAGTTAAACATTTTGGAAAAAAAATGGATGATTAATTTTTAGGAAAACTCTATTAAAATTTTTATAAAAATAGTGAATTTAATCCATTTATTTTGTAAATCCCAAATCATGGTTTGAAACCGAACTAAACTATAAACCGTGATTTAGTTTGATTTATAAAAATTACAAACTGTAAAGTATAATTTAGTTTGAATTTGAACACTAAACCGAACCACGAATATCTCTAGTCAGGAATTAGTTTGATCGATTTAGTATTAATAGGCAATCTTTTTTTTTAATTAGGATAAAAAAACTTCCTTCCTTCAAAATTTGATTAAATAATACTTAACTTATTCTTAGTATAAAAAAATATTTTTCTATTTGACTAACTATTGATTATCAGTTGTCTAGTAATTTTGTTATAAAAATGTGAGCGTAATTCAATTTTATATGTTATATTCGTCTACCTGATTAAAAATTAAAATATTATTTGATTTACTTATTTTTTTTAAAAAATTTCTTATTTTTAATTTTAAAAAAATTAAAGATATTACTTTTGATAATTTAATTTTATTATTTTTAAATTTTTAAATAGTTTTTATTTCATTATTTTTTTAGTTTCATTTTAAATGTCGAACTCACAATGGGCTGAATAACATTTAAGTTGCAAAAAGGGGTTAAATGTTATTTAAACTTGAAAAATAGTAAAAATCTTTAATTTAAAATTTAAAAATCAAATATTAAATTTTAAAAATGAATAAATATTTTAATTTTTAATTAGATAGTCAATTAAAGCAAGTGAAATTAAATTAAGTAACTATTAGTCAATAATTAGTAAAAAAAAAAGAAAAATATTTTTCACGATAAGGATAGGATTATGAATTATTTAATCAAACTTGGAGGGATGAAAGCATTTTTTTTTACCCTTTTTATTATTTATCTTATGTATTTGTTGAACAATAATATTGAATTTATTTATTTATATATTAAGATTAAAATAATGGAATTTTATTTCTTTAAACTTTTTAAATCAAAGTTGTGCCTCGGTGGCTATTCATTATTTTTAGCCATGGATTGCAGATCAAGGATCAGCACCTTTTCTTTTCCTAAAAGTTTGATTTATTAAGATGTGTGTACTTGGCGTAGGACACAATATCATAACATTAGTTTCAAACGTATTACTTTTTATATTATTTATTATAGGATTACTGTTATCTCTTCAAAAAATCGATCCATTTGATAACATTCCTGCTTATATTTCCTCTTCTCCCTATTTGATGCATCTTTTTTTTCTTACACAAGGTTACCTTCTTTTAAAAAAATAGGACTTATTAAAGTTTGTGACTACCATATATATCTTAATGTACATCTTTATCTCTATTTGATATACACTCTATGCCAAAAAAATTACCATTTATATCTTAATCTACCTCTTTTTCTCTATTTGATAACCAGTCCATGACACAAGCTACTAGGTTTGAAGATATAACTACATATTTGAAACATGGGCTTTTGTATATTGTACAAATTAGATATGTTGTTATTAAATCATTGGAATAATTGTATATGGTTTTTACACATTTGATTAATAAAAAATATTTGTTGTTAACACTGTCTTAAGTACCTAATTAAGGGATAATAATATTATAAATTACAATACATTGTACGACATGATACAAGACAATAAAAAATTATTTGACCAAATTTTTTACTATTAATTTCTAACACATTTACCAAAATTTTAAAAATATTTCAAAATAAACACAAATGTCATAGGAATTCAAACTAAAACATAACAAAAAGACATATATTTAATCCTATATACCTGATTAATAAGAAAATAAAATAAATTTAAATTACTAGTATTATAATTTTATAAATAGTTTTTTAACTCAAAAGTTTAGTGGGTAACGATGTAACTTCATGTTTACGGGAACATATCCGTTCAGATCCGACCCGAAGCTTGGTCGGCCCAAGAAGATCTGGGTCCCATCATTTCATCCGTGGAGGCCGTTGCAGGGCTTTCAGCTTGGGCCAAACCTATCTTCCTTCCGGATCCTTCCCATATTTTATCAAATCCATTTAATTGCTCGATCCAATCCGATTCAAATCCGGTGTCTCCCCCCAACCCTCCTACTTTGGCAGGTCAAATATTTTTCCCAGAATTTCCCTCCTCCATTTTCTTTGGTTTACCAGTGTATGTACAGTGTGGCACTGTTTCTGGTTGGAATTTCATTTCACTTCCTCTTTTCCCTCCCTCCCTCCCTCCCTCCCTCTCTCTCTCTCTCGCCACTTACGAGCTCTTTGTTTACCTTCTTTTCTCTCCATAGAGCCAAGCGTTGAAGTATGGAGGGAGGTCAACCTTATAATCCTCGCACGGTGGAAGAGGTGTTCAGAGATTTCAAAGGTCGAAGAGCTGGAATGATTAAAGCCCTGACCATCGGTAAAATATATCCCTTTTGTATTTTAAGCTCTGCGTTGTCTTCTGTTTTCCGTCTGAGTTTTTTGTTATTTAGCTATTGAACTGTTTTGTTTCGTCTTTCATTGATTGTCGCAGATGTTGAAGAATTTTATCAGCAGTGTGACCCTGGTTAGTTCATGCTTCTTTAGTTCTTTCCTTTTTTGGAATTGGTTGTTTCTGCGTGAACTAAGTCCGTATGAACTGCTGGTTGTTCAGTCTATAATTTACTATTTACAATTGTGCGTAATGCTTATGAATGCCGTCTCATGAGCGAAATTGGAGATCTTTGTACGCGAAGGTTTACTACTGGCTTATTTTTCTTTACACATTCATTCTCGAAGATGTAGGCACGGAGTTTTGCGGTTATTTTTATGCACTATTCAATGAATTTTTGTAGTTTTTTTCGTTTTTGGAGCACAGATGAATTTTGATTTCTAATATTGAGTCTGTCCTGCTTTCCGGAAATTTTTAAATAATTGTGATATACCGTAAAAATGAAAATGGAAAAAAAAGAAACAAAGAGAAGAAGAGAATTATTTAAATTTCCAGTCGTTACCATCCAAATATCCTAACCTATTCTAGCATCTACCTATTTCCTTTTTGACCATCCCTCAATTGCAAGGAAAACATAATAACAGGAAATGAAACATGAAGAAAAAATATAGATTATTGTAAATATGGTGTAGACTAAGTTCTACTAAATGACAAATGTTGTTACTTTTGTGTGAAAGAGTAGTGACAGGTACAAGAATGGGTCTCCTGAAATTAAAAACTGACAACAAAGGCCAAGGGAGTTTGTGTAAACAACAAAAATTGCTGTTTATGGGGCTCCAAAGCTACAAAACAAAATTGGACATGTAAAGCCAAATTTAGGAATTATTCATGGGAATGCATAAACAAACCCTCAACAAATTAGCCGCTGATGCCAATCAATCGTTAAATTTGGATCCTCTCTATTTTTGTATGGCAAACTGGCTATCTGGTTCATCACATCTGGTCTGCCTACTTTTTCATGCAGGGCTTATTGTAATGGAAGTGTGTATTGATACATCCTCATCAATGGAAGTGTCATCCTAAACAATTTTTTTTTTTTCATTTCTTGGAACCAAATCTTTATCTAAATGGTAAAAAATGAAAAGGGCACTCTAAAATAAGCTTTTCTTTAGATAAATTAATTTCAGGCCCAAGATACAATGAACTGTAGGTCCATTTCACCACTGCACCAAAAGCAGCCAATTGATCAAATAACCATTTACAGGGTGAGTAGAAGTTTAAAGCTTAATATTTTAAAGCAAAGATAAATTCTTGTGCTATATATATGATTTCATTAGCTTGTATTGTATTATCCATTAAGAAAAATAAAAATAGCATAAAATTTGCTCCATGAGAACATGTTATGTATTATAGAAAAAAATGCATGAAAGAAGGCAAGTCACGGAATGAGACTTCAAAATATTAATGATATACGTCCTAATTTAAATGATGAAAGGGAAAAATAAAAAGTATATAAATAAATAAAAATCGGAGTCACCCATGACTGCAGACAAATGTGACATTAATTATCAAAGGCTTTGTGGACAGAAGAATGGTTTTTCTTATTTTGAATAAATTTGGAAAATTTAGGATTTGGTTGATAATTTTAATTTCGTTTTTTCATAATTTCTTGGCTTGTAGAATTTCATTGCCTGGATGATTTTGGAATTTGTATAAATGTAATTATTTGTACTTAAGCCATTTGACGTGACTGGGAATCATATATTTGTTGTCTTCACATGTATGCGAAAGGCTATTCATACTTTTCCCTTCTTCTGTCTCTAAATGCTTGGGAAGTTTTCTTTTACTGCTCTTTGTATGGTTTGTGGTCTTGACTAACAAACTCCTGTTTGAACTGTGTATGGAATTTCTCTTTACAAAGGATCATGTTCACTTGTTTGCTTGTATATGTATATGTGTCAGTCAACTTTTACCTTTCTCTTCTCAAATTACTGTATTTTTGTAGTTTTTTTTTCCTTGACTAACAAACCACCTGCCTTAACTAGGCATCTTATATCTCTTTTGAATTAAATTTATGAGTTTTGGGCTTGACGCTTGTAAGATTTAAATGGAAATATTTTGTTAAGTTTCATTCAAACTTGCATGTTGTGTCCTTAAAAAAATTCCAGTTTGACTTCATTGTTCAGATATAGCGGATGATTTTCTTTTGCACCATAAAGTTTTAGGCAATTGTTACATATGCTTCTATATTTATTTCACTATCTTCATGCCTTTATCCCTTACCATGTAAGTCTCTGTCTTTACATTATAATTTTATACCTTTCCTGCATTTGCTCTATGTATACTAACAGTCTGTTGGAGTTTTCAATCATTAATGTTTGCATGGTTTGGGAGATCTTGAAACTTAGCATTATTAGTGTTGTGCAGTTCTACTAGTTGGGATCTGCATTTGGTTGGAAAGAGTCCTAAAGGTTTTTCATTTCTTCTTTCTATTCCCCTTTTTTTTTTATCATCTGTAGGTGCTATGTTAATGGTTATGCTACGTATGATATTCCAATTTAAATGATTGAAATCAATCACTTCTTATTTGTGAATAAGGATTTTTATGCCTTTTGTTCCACTTGTAGTGTCATTCGTCAGGAAAGATTACCTCTTCTCATGTTAATACAGTTAATTTTTGTTTTAAATTGCAGAAAAAGAAAATCTTTGCCTATATGGATTTCCAGTGAACAGTGGGAAGTCAATTTACCAGCTGAAGAGGTACCCCCAGAGCTCCAGAGCCTGCTCTGGGTATTAACTTTGCCAGAGATGGCATGCAAGAAAAAGATTGGCTATCTCTAGTTGCTGTCCATAGTGATGCATGGTTGCTTGCTGTTGCCTTCTACTTTGGTGCCAGATTTGGTTTTGACACAAAGCTGATAGGTACTGTCGTCCTGGTACTTGTGGTCCATCATTTACATGGGTTTGAGTCCATAATACAATTATATGAAATTGAATAGATGAATGTAGGAAGTTGTAATTAGTTTTGTGTGTTAGGATCTAGTATTTTGCTTCACTATCAAACCACTCAGTTTTATTCGGCCTTTAGTTGATTGGCTTAATTGGTTTTGGAAGCTACTTGGTGAATATCTTGTATTCAAGCAACTATATACTCTATATCCATTTCACCATGCTCCAGCATTAATGTGGCCAAGGTGGTGGGTAGGTGTGTCATTGGCTATCAAGTTGGGCACCAGGTATTGCACTTGTGCTGTGCCCTGGCGAGCTTCACTCTTCACCCTCTAGCCATTCATGCCACCTGATTTTGGTGGTCTCGCCAAGGGTTGTGAGGCATTATGGCTGGAGCACCACATAAATACGAAGTTCTGAGCGGATTGTGGAGTCTTGGAAATCTTGAGAGTAGGTTTTCATTAAATAAGGGTCATAGAGAAGCACTTCCAAATGCGGGATCACAAGTGCTGAGGTAGTGATGATAAGTGTGGGAGGGACAAGCACAAGCCATGGCACTAGTGGTCCTGCCAAGGGCCATGAGGTGCCCTGTTAGCACACAGAAACTGGTAATTTCTAGGTAGAGAATCTTGGGCAAGTCTCAGGCTTAAGTCTTTCTTAGATGATATCTTTGGGGGTGGATGTTCCTGGGTGCAAAAGTAGTGCTGTGGGAGTGACATAAGGTGTTGCCCTTTCTTACCTCCCTTCATAGCTTAGTTTAGCAGATGTCTTGCCTTGGATGTGCTAGATGCCTCCTAGCATGGCTAGCAAATGGACTTCCACCATAAGGATGCCTTAGCCTGGGCATCTCAAATGCCCTCACTTAGGGGTAGCAAGTGTAGTTGCTAGAGACTGTGAGGTGACGCAAGTTCTGGTTAACCAGTATGTTAGCTCAATGGTCCAAGTACCTGGAGTATCTTTATTTGCATTTGAGAAAATGTGAACAATTTAATAATTGGCATGATTTTCCAAGATTATGAAAATCCTGTTATGCATGTGCTAATGTTCATACATAATTATGTATGAACACATGTACATGAATAAACTTGTTTATAAATATCTTCTATATAGATAACACATTTTTATTTATTTCACTAATTTAAGGAATTCTTTGTACATGTATATTTATTAGTTTCATATCAATTTGTATTTTCTTTTGTCATTAGGACAACACAAATTGAGATTCAAATCCAAAAAATTGTTCATGAATTTTCTTCTTCCTTCAGGCTGGGCCAAGCCTTTGGGTTTTTAAGTGGGTTGGGTAGGTTTGGTTGATGTTTAGGAGCTATCTCCAAGAAGGGTTGTTGGACACAGGCCAAGTCAAGAAAAAGACTTCATTTCTTTTCTTTAATAGTAGTCTTAATGACATAGTTTGTACCTTTAAGAAAGCAGTTTTTTTGACACTTGGTTCCTTTGTCTTAAGTCAAGCGAGAGGGAAGATCTTAAGGCTTTTTAGTTTTTGAATCAACTTCTGAATTATATTGTGCCCATTGATTATATGCTGGGGGGAAAGCGATAGAGCGAGGGATTGTAACCTGACCTGGGACATTGATCTGGAGTTGTGGTCTCCTTCCCATCCTTGGTTCCAGTCCTGGATCTCATTTGCACTAGACTAACTTGTTTTGGAGGACACTATTGTGCTGCTGTTCTCTCCAGCCCTTTAGGGCCTCTTTCTAGTTATTTAGGTAAATCCATTTTATGTAAAATAAGAATAAAAAAAAAATATCATGACTTTGTTGACCTGTCTAGGAAAAAAGAAGTCACTCTATTTCTTATGATATGTTAATTTAATTAAATCCTAATATATTAATAATACATAGGGATTGATATAAAACATTAAAAGAATTTGATAATTTTGTTTGGTGCCAATTGCAATGCTCATCAAAATGCATGGCCACATCAGTTCATGATAGAAAATATATTATCAGGAATAAACATCACTTGAAGCTTTTCTACTGGAGGCTTGTTTTATGTCATATGCAATCAGTAGTAAGATCCTTGGTCACAGCTGGTAAAGCATTTATATATTTATGTATTCATGTTTTGCCTCAGGATTTAGAAAAACTAGCTTGTGTGGTACAAAATTCATCTAACCTTGGATGAATGCGCCGAGTGAATCACTGCAATGTCTGTCTGGACTATCTGGTTCTGACATCTATATATATTTGTGTATATAGGATGACTCTATTATTTTAGCTAATGGGTGTGATGGGCCATGACATTTCTGGGTGTGTGTGTGTGTGTGTATGGCGCTATTTTATTTTCTCATGGACCTTTTTCTTCTCTCTTTTTGGTGAATGCATAAAATTCTTGATGAAAAATGCTCAGTTGACTTTATGCAGTGGGAGTTTGATAATTTCCTGCACAATATATGTTTCTCTTCTTCTAATAGCTGTATTCTTTATTGAGTGAAACTTCTCTGGTCTTAGTTTTCACATATTGATGAGTTTGTGATATAATCTTCTTTAGTGTTATATGCAAGATGCTTGAATGAATTAAATAACACCTCATGTGGCATATCTAGCATATAACTTTTACTGTGTCATATCCTATGGTTTCCCAAATGTATACATAGCAACATATAGAATACATAATCAGTGAAATATGCACTAGAATTCGACATTGGGCATGGAACAACTTGTTATACCTCAATTGCTGCAATGGCAAGAGCACAAAAATTTTGACCTTTATGTTTTCATTTTTGTCAAGAAGGTTTTCTTGCTTGCTTCAGTAGTGAAGCAAGATGCAGCATGGGAGAACTGGGGTTCAGGCATATTAAACTGGAGGGGTATTTGATTAATTTGATAACGTGCAGATCTTTGCAAGAGGAGAACCTAGTATATCAGAAAACTTCTACAAGGCTTTGATAAAGTCGGCCTTTCTCTTAATATTGTGCAAGTAATCAGGGTTTTTCATCACCTGCTTGATTTAGCAAAAAGGGTAGAGATGTATAACTTGTTTGTTTGAATTAGTGCCCCTGGATGTGATGCATCAGGTTTTATTTGATCAGCTAGAGATGTAAGTCATCTTTGGCTTTCTTATTGAGTTTTCTTGAAGTTTCTGTTCTATGTACTGAAGGCCTGAGCCTGGCAGAGGGAGAGGACCAAGAATCATATCTGTGACCTTTGGATGAACTTCACAAGTGTTACACCACTTGGGCAAGCATTAGGTTCCGTTTTATTGAATTTTCAATCTGAAAAATATGGATTTATGGCTAGCCAATTAAAAATGTATAAATTTTGTGATATTAAGCATGTTCTTTATTCTATTTTTAAAAGAAAACTCTGATGATCCCAGAATTGTTAACCATTTATGGATAGTGTAGAATCATTTTACGAAGTTTACAAGGATAATATTGTTGGTGAAATTTATTATGCCTAACAAAAAGCAGTTGCAACCAAGCCATGTCAGAACTTAGGAGCTTAAATTACTGAACTTATTAGAAATTGTGAAATATTTAAATGGGTCACTATTGAAACAGCGGAGTAGCTTGGTTACTCTTCCTGTGTGTGCGCGCTTGTGTGTGTGTGCGTGCGCGTGCGCGTCTGGTGCTGACCACCCTAAAATCCAGATGCACATGAATAATGGTCTATTAAGAGTGTTTGTGTTAATAGTAATTTAGCTTCAACATAATGCAAAAGTTGTTTGCTATGTGGGACACGACAGCTGGGTGAGTTCTAGCCTTATGCTTCTTCCATTATATATTTTTTTCGAAGGGCTAATTTACTGTTATAACCTGATCAAAACAGTCTCTTAACATATCTAAGCTGTAGGGGAAAGTGGCTGTACTTTTGGAAAGGGTGGGGGGGCAACATTTAGGCAAACCTTGAGGGGGAATTTGAAACTCTGTGGGTGCGCGTAAATATATATTTTAATATATATGGGTTAAGTTATTTTTAGAGCTGGTGTTCTAATTTATTATGTTTAAATCTTATCTATGTTTTTTATTCTATTGATATCCTATGTAACCAAAATTGCATTTGATATTTGCCATATATTTATCGTGCATGCTAAGCTTTATGTTTAAGTAGGGTTAATCTAGGAAGCATGGATGGTTCATTTGGTGTGACTTATATGTCTACATGTTTATGTATCACATAGAATTCACTAGTGATGTTAAAGGGCGAAGAGGCACCATTTAGGCACAAGGTGCCTCTAGGTGCAATATTTGTGCTTTAACCTAGTCTAGGAGAGGTGCCTTCCTTCAGGCGGTCTTCAACTTTGAAGGCCAGGTCTCAAGGGCCTCGTTCAGGTGTGCTTGGACAAAATTGGACTGAAAAACCTAAGCTTTAAATACCAAAGCAACATCAATAGGATGGTTACAGGCCATTTGATGATTCAATAATGGCTTTTTAATCCTTGAAACCTTTCGTTGAGCTTCTTCACCCATTGACTTGTGGCTGTGACTTAGTCTTCTTCAATCACCAAACCGACTTTGAGCCCAAACCACTTTGTACTTTTGACTTCAACCATACGTTTTGCTTGTGAGTTGGACTTCTTTTGCTAGGACCAAATCTGTCAGCAACTTTTACCCTATTGCTACTAGGGACTTAAATTTCGACTTATGTGCTCCCCACCCCCCACACCCTTCCTGCCCAACTTTCATTCTTTCATATTTAATTTTTTTGGGAAAGGCCAAATATTTAATTTTATTCAATATTCTTTTATATAAGGATGATTTAATTTACAATTTTTTTTTTATAAAATTTATTGTTAATCACATAATATAATCTTTCCCATAATTTAATTTGACATATTTTGATGTTTTATACCATGTATGTTGGACTTTGAGTTTATTTTGTTTGCTAATTATATGTTTGTCTTGCATATTTGATATGTTTGAAACTTTGAATACTTGTGTAGTCTCATGATATGTAGAATAACAGGGAATATCCTACAAATTATCTAACGTGTGCCTGACTTTCTAAGAGCATGTGCCTCACCTTTCGCCTTGTGCCCTAGGTTCTAGGAGATCTTTGCAATTTGATGTGCCTTCACTCAACGTTAACCTTTTGTAAGAATAATGTGAGAATAAATGCATATATCATATACAGTTAGGTAACAAAGGAATGAAATGATTGTTACAAGTCTAGTGTTTTTTAGTTCATGTTGAATGCTTAGGCATGAATAAATCAATTTGATTATTGGGTATTTATGTTATTTTTGGTCATTTTAAAAAATTTTAGTTATAAATATGATAAATATAGATGTTATAAAAATTAATCCTTTAGCTATTTCTTTGATGTTGATGTTAGGCTTGTTCATGGTTCATGAACTGGCTTGGACCAGAACAAAACTGCCGGTTTCGGTCCTTAAAAACTATGAATCGGGGCCAAAACTGTGAAAGACGGTCCAGTTTCAGTTTGAGGCCTTCACGGTTCCGGCCCGGTTCTTGGTTTGGGCCTTAAATGTTCCAGTTCTAATTCACTATTACAATTCGGGTTGGTTCATGGTTTCGGTTCTGGTCTAACCCAAAAAAATTGTAATATTAATTTATAAATATTTTCAAAATATTTTTTTTTTCTCTTTCTTATCCATAAAATATTACAACTCATGATAATGTTATAATCTCCCTTGTTAAAAAATGTTCTTAGTTAATGACTAGGTCATTTTAGTTATTTTACTTAGAAACTTTAAATCACAATATGTTATTTTTTTTTCAATTCCATCTTCAAGCTTCAAAAATTTAAACTAGGTAAATAATAAAGTAAATATTGGTCTAGAAAGGTGGCAACTTTAAATTTGTTCTAGCTATCTCTCATTCCTCTAATAGGTACCTACTTTGGACATGCAAATAGAATCTCGAATAATAACTTTATGTTAAGAGATTGCCTTACCCATATTTTCTTTTATTTTTCATTTCAATAAATGTAAGAGAAAAATAAACCAAAATTTTATTTCGTTTAAAATATAAACTATATTTCAACCACTTGTGTTTTTCTTAAATATTGTTACTTTATTTTTCATATGTTAAACACATTTTTTTATTTTTTCATTTTCCTTAAATTTGATTTTGTTTAGTGGAAGATATTTTGGTTTATTCAGAGTACTTATATTTAAATTTATAGCATAATTTTTTATGTAGAAATTTATATTAAATTAATAATTAAGGGATAAAAATAAATATTTAACTCTATAAAAACTCAAAATAGTGAAATTAAAATTTGTAAAAAACATGAATCTTATATATATATATATATTTTTTGTTAGTTAATGTATATACAATAAATTTTATATCTAAAAGTAAGTCTTTTTTTATATTTAAAAAAATAGATTGTATGAATTTATATCTAAAAATTAAGTGAAAGTCTTTTTTTATATTTGAAAAAAAAAAAACAATTTTTTCATGGTTTAGCTCACAATTCAATCCTCGTGGTTCTTCACGGTTTTGCTTCATGGTTCAATCTCGGGTCAACTCTCACGGCTCAATTCCTGTTCAGATTCATTAGTTCTAGGACAGTTCTAGTTTTGCTTTAGATTCAGATTCCAAAAATCAGGACCGTTTACCGGACCGTGAATGTTCCGTTCAAAATGGAACTGGACCACAATTAGACGGTCCAGTCCAGTCCAGGCTGATTCATGGTCCGAACTGGAACTGTAGACAGGGTTGGTCCATGCTATGTTGGACACCATATCCATGTCTTTGCTCCTTTGTGATTAATAACATCCTTATTCGACATGATATGACTTTGAATTGAAATATCTAGATGAGGTTGCACAGCTGCTGATCACTTTAAAGTTTTTGCATGCATGGTGAGTATAAAAGAAATACCTAATCTGACAGGTAGTTTGTAAGATGTGAGTTTATTAGGGAAGGAAGACAAAGGATGAGTCTATTATTTCTAAAGTTCACATCTGAAGTAAATTGATTCTAACCCTATATATATCAAAGTGTACTGTGTCATGTAAGTACTGTTTTCGCACTTCGTATAGTTTCAAAAAATTTTCATGTTGGTGTATCCATTTTCTGTTGGATGGGTTTACACTTCTTAGGTCTTAGGTTTTGCTTGAAGCTGATCGTGGCTGATGCCATGTTCTCAGTTTTACACTACAGTGCAGAACGGAAGTATGGTAGTGCATTTCTAATCATATCTTGTGGGGATTTTGTACAGGAAACGCCTTTTTAACATGATAAATGATCTTCCGTCAATATTTGAAGTTGTGACGGGGACGGCCAAGAAGCAGACTAAGGAGAAGTCTTCAGTCTCAAATCATAGCAGTAACAAATCTAAATCAAATTCCAAGGTAGCAAGCACTCTCTGCTTGTACAACTTTTCAATCACATTTTTGTTCTTCTCCTCGCTTTTTATGCATGCTTAAACAAAGCTGCTTGCCTGATGCTTCATATATTAATATGAAAAATGAATTAAAGCAAAATGCAGGTAGAACCAAAAATTCTAATGTTCAGGCACTTCTTTGGATTCTTGAAAGTTGAACCATGCTTTAATTGTATTAGTTGTATAACTTAGATTGGTCCCATTGGTTAGTCTTTAAAATTGAATGTCTCATTTGTTATTTTGCTAGTAAAAGATTCTCAGTATTTCATTTTCCTATGCTTGTGGGCTGTTGAAAGTTTCAGAAGTTCATGAAATTATGAACTAGGAGGATATACAGGCAATTGGAATGTGTGATATGTGTGAAGCAGATATTTATATTATTATTGTTGGTTTTGTTTTCTGAAGGTTGAGTAAATGAATTCTGTTTTAAATATCTTATATTCCCTCACCCAAAACAACTTTCACCCCCTGTACATTGATATATTGTTCATTGCTTGTTTATGCCATATTTTCGTCTAGAAACAGCGAGGTTCTGAATCTCAGGGCAAGTTTTCAAAAGGTTCACAATTGAAAGATGAGGAGGAAGAGGGTTTGGAAGAAGAAGATGAGGAGGAGCATGGGGAAACGCTATGTGGAGCATGTGGGGAGAATTATGCATCTGATGAATTCTGGATCTGTTGTGACATCTGTGAGAAGTGGTTCCATGGCAAGTGTGTTAAGATCACCCCTGCTAGGGCTGAACATATCAAGCAATACAAGTGCCCGACCTGCAGCAACAAGAGAGCTCGCCCTTGACATCTAAGGTGAATGTGGATACCACAGATTAGCTCTTTCAGGATGGATTCTGCTAGTTGTTTAGTTGTCTGGGCCTTTCTAGTTTGTACCCTTCTGGTTTAAGATTGTCTAGGTATCAGTTGTAGGTTGCAGGCATGTGGTTAGTGTGTAGTTGTGCATTCACGTTGTTTGTGTAGGTTTCAAAACTGTCTGTCGTTCAAATTTAAATTAGAAAATATTGTTATCTAGTGGGAAATTGTTTTTCCATCATGCGGAAAGAACCCCTTCCACCTCTCGTCAATTAACGTTCTCCCGTTTGTCCCTGCTTCATGGTTCCTTGAACGTGTGATCTCCCTTGTGTGGATCTGCATTAGCTGTTGACTAGAATGTTCAATTAAGTGTTTACGTCTGGGTTTGTCAATATATTTGTGATCGGGGTGCTTATGGTGTGGTTTGATTCAATTTGAAACTCAAGCACAAACTGAGTTATAATTCAAGGTTTGAAACTCTTAAAATTTAAACCAAATCATGAATTGAACTAAATCAAATTATAATTCATAGGTTGGTTCAATTTAAAATCATAATTTAGATTTTTGAGAATTGTCACAATCCAATATTGGGAATGTGACCAATGCATAAATTGGATTAACTTGAGAAGCCTAATATGATATAAATAGAATAGGCTAAATTTGCTTCTTTTTATAAAAATTTTGATAAAGGTTTTTACATTAAAAAATGGACATCTAAAAGTTTTTTTTTTCAATTTATTGAACTCAATACATTATACAATAAGTATATTTATGTAAGAGAATAATTTTAAATTCATATCAATAGAAATTATTCACTAAAAAAAAGAAAAATTACATAAGACTAATATGTAACAATATAAATTCAAAACAAATCTATATACAGCATAAAAGTGTTCATACCAGTGACTAAATCCAATCATCATAAGCAAACCTTTGTGAAAGGATAGCGACAAATATTGGCCATTTTATTGTGATATTTCAAGGTATATTAGTTTTTGAGTGTGATATCATGTTATGAATAAAGTTTTAGACACTATTATTAAATAATTTGAATTTAAATGTTTTGAGTTAGTAGTTTAAATTTAACAAGTTGTTAGAGTTGAAAACTTTTGGATCGTTATGAATAGTATCAGAGCAAATAATTGTCACATTTGTTTTGTTTTTGTTGTATTTTGGATACGAATACGAGTTTATGATTGAATGAGAATGTCAAGTATTTAAATGTGGGAGGTTGAAATATCCTATTTAATATTGGTCTCTAAGTGTGATATATATTTTTATATAAGATTTTAGAGACAATTATTAAATAACTTAGATTTAATCATTTTTTAGTGGTTCAGGATCAACAAGATGTTAAGATTAGTAACTTTTGGGTCTTTACAAACGGTATGATTGTTGAATCTATTCTATTTCTATTTTCTTTGAATATAAATACAAGTTTGTGATTTTATGAGGACTCAAGAAACTATTATTGAACAATTTGATTTAAGTATTTTGAACTAGCAGCTCAGTTTTAACAAATTGTTTGAAATAGTAATTCCTAGTTGTTACCGTTGGATTTGAAGTAGAATAGGGAAGCATATAACAATTTAGGCTAATAGTTGAGGTTCAATAGGTTGTTAAAGTTAATAATTCTTGAGTAGTTACAAATGATATAATTATTGAATCTATTCCATTTTTATTTCATTTGGATACAAATACGAGTTTGTGACTTTATTAAGACGTCACAGCCTACTACTAAGCAACTTGGTTTAAGTATTTTAAAATAATAGTTTAGGCTTAATAAATTGTTAGAGATAATAACTCTCAATTATTACTATTAGGTTCCTAAAGCAGCAAAATTTAAAATTTTTTAAACACTTTCAAAGATGTGATCAATCACACAAAAAATATAATCTAAAGCACCTAAAATGCTTTATGCATAAAATAAATTTGAAAAATAGAATGTATACCTTTCAAACTTTCAACCGATAAAGGTTAAAGTGAATTTGAATTCACAATTGCTGTAATCGAAACACAAAAACCAGATTTGATTTAGGAGAAGGCCAAATGTACTTCCTTTCAAGGCATCCACATGATGAATACCTACTAGAGTTTCCAGTTATACTAGTACTTTGAAACTCTCTCTCCATAGGAAGGAGTTCTATCAAACTCTTTTGATCTAGGGTTTATGAAAACTCTCTTGTAAGCCTAACACTATTAGTGATCTCTTCACCTCTATTTATAAAAAAAAATAGATCTTATTTGTGTCGTTATTTAAGATACACACACATGTAAATAATTAAATTATTCAAATGTTCTAAACATTATATCTTCAAATAAACTCTTAACTAATTAGAAAACTTTCATGATGATTCAATGGATGCATCCTCATTGTAAGATTAATCAATTAAACAATTTAATTAGTAAATATATTAATCTCTATTATAATTTAATTAAATGATAAACCATTTAATTAATTGATTTAACTCATTAAACTGATTTAATTTACAGTTTATTAATCTAAATAATTAAATTAGACAAATTCCTACAAATGATATGGACTTATTTACTCTTGTGTCTAACCTCTTAGGTTTACCAATTAGCTACCAGTGGACCCGTAACAAATTACGATTTAATATATGAATAAATAATTATAATTAATTAGTTCATTTAATTAAATAATTTTAATTAATCACTCTTGAATTAATCCTTATTAAAGCAAGAATACCTACACTTCATGGGATATTTCTAGCAATAGTTCGTAAAAACTTAGAAATTGTTGAATGTAAAACCATACATCTGTTCCATTTACACATACCTTGCAAATACAATTATTCCGTTAACCAATCTCTCAATTGAGATATAGGATTCAAATATTATTTCGATAAGCTTACAATCTTAATAATAATCCACTTATTCCAAATCATTATTTAATGTCCAATTTAGAAAACTTATTTTTTAATTGTTTGTCATTTCTTTATAATCTCAATAACAATATACCTATTTCAAATGATTGTTTAATGATCAATTTAGGAAACTCATTTTCTAATTGTTTATCATATGCCTTTCGTAAAAACTTGCAAAACAATCATTTATAAATAGTTTAGAAGATTTACTTATTTTGCTAGATAGATAATAGTTCCTATATTAGTTCTCATAGACCTCTATATATAAATAATTTATACCTAACATAAAATCTCTTATAAAACCAACTTATTACCAGACAGAATGTCAAAGTATAAGTATTTATATATAAAATCATAATGGAACTTCAAGTCAAAAGATTACTGAATGCACTATTACTGTAATACCTTTAAGCAAGTCCCACATTAACAAAATACGGGAGAGATGCTGAGTTCATAGGTATGTATGCCTTAGTCTCTGTTAGACGCGTTTTAAAACTGTGAAGGCCTCGACCCAAAGCTAACAATATTTATCAGTGAGCTGGGCTATTACAAAATATAGTGACATCTTGTTTCATATCAATTTCTGAGAGTAATATAATATAGAATATAAGAGACTAGAGATTACTACTGAAAAACTTCGGCTAAAGCATTTTGAACCAGTGGTTCAAGCTCAATAAGTTGCTAAGGTTAGTAGTTCTTGGGTTTTACAAAATACTGCATAATAGTTAGGCTTGCTAGGTTAGATTCCATTCTAATCTTAGCGCCGATCATGAATCCAACCCTTGGATCGTGACAAAATGGTATTAGAGCAAAACGATATTCGGACATATTTTGTTAGGATACAAATGCGAATTTTTGACTTGATAAGGATGACAAGTGTTTAAATGATGGAGATTGTGACATCTTGTCCCACATAATTTTTGAGAGTAATGTGATATGGTATACAAGAAACTAGAGATTACTATTCAAAAACTTAGGTTTAAGTATTTTGGGCCAGTGGTTCAAGTTCAACAAATTGTTAGGACCAGTAGTTCTCGAGTCTTTATAGAAATACTGTATGACGGTTAGGCTTGCTAGGTTAGACTTCATTCTAACCTTAGTGCCAGCCACGAATCCAGCAACTGAGTCGTGACAATTACAAACATAGAAATTCTTAGTATCGACAAGCATTTAATATCAGATTCTCTAAGTGGGACAGTTTAGTGAATTTGCTATTCAATAAGCACCCACATGTGTGTACTGATGTCACTTACATCAATCATCTATAAAACGAGGCACCCACTTAACAAGCATATTAAATATGTATAAATTTAATATGAATTTAGTCAATACCCTTCTTGACAACTACTACGACTTGAAATATTTTGAGACTAAAGGCATAAAAACTTATTTTATAATCACATCTCTATGCACAACAAAGTCCCATGGCCATGTATGGTCTAAAAATTTCAACAAAATGCATAATAAATTCACACATTAAATTTAAATGGACAAGTAAGACAATATATATATTAAATGAAAAGCTTGCATTACAAGAGTAATCTAATACACGAATTCAATTGGCTAATCGGATGGTAGCCTAAACAATCTCTCCTTGCCTTATACCCAATTGCCCTATAGATCTAAGACTCATCTTTTCAATATGTCTATAAAAAATCTTTTATCATAGAGGTTTTGTTAGTGGCTCTGCTACATTCTCTATTGATACTACTCTTTTCATTTGAAAGTCACTTTTACCAATAAACTCAAGTTCTTTGATCTCTCTTTTTCTATCCAATAGAAATTCCATATCTAAGAAAATTGTTTCTCGAAATAAAAATATTTTGTTCCTTTGAATCATAGAAATAATATCTCATTGTTTCTTTGAGATATCGCACAAGCTTATACTAGATGGATCTCATATCCATTTTGTTTTCCTTGGAAATTTTCACATAAGTAGAGCACCCCCACACTCTCTGGTAAGTATATTAGGGTGGTTTGTACCATATCTCTTGTGGGGTTTTACGCACAACATTGAAGATAATTTATTTAAGATCCTTGCAGCCGTTTCTATAGCGTATGCCGAAAAAAGGAGGAAAATCATTTAAACTCATCATGAAAAACT